CTAACCTCAGAGGCCCATGAGTCTTACTAGAACTATAATTTGTTTGTTTTCCTTTTTCCCTCATCCTCTCTACAATATTTCGGGATCCCAATCCTATGATCTCTCCCTATAGCCCATATACAAGGCAGATTTGCTGCCCTACTGGGAGGGTTCTGAAGACCAAGATCACCATGTTGCCTCACCTTTGGTCCCTGGACCTCCCAAGGCCAGAACTTATGCTGAAACTGTTGAACATCACTACCTGCTCTTCAGAGACACAGACCTGGTAAGTTGGGGCCAGTGGGTAGCCAAAGAATAAGGTAGAAGAGGGGGTTCCTGTGGTGTAGGGAATAACTATGAGGCCCACAAAGGTCCTTAGTATAAAGACAATATCCTAAAACTTAACATTGCTTAACCACAGCGTGGATTCCAAGATTTGCTTCAGAGGGAACCAGTGCTTCGCATGCAAGAAGGAGAGGGACGCTCTCAGCTCTGTCTGGATAGGCTGCAGCTGGAGGCTGTTCACAAGGTATGGTCATAGGATCATCTGTTTAGAGATGAAAGGAATTTAGAAGTCATTTCATCCATACTCCTCATTTTACAGATGAGAGAACAAACTGAGGCTGAAGGGATTTATCTCTCCTCTCTCCCCTCCCCCCAGCACACTCTCTCTCTCTCTCTCTCACACACACACACACACACACACACACACACACACATATACACACATACACACACACACTTTTCCGTCCAACTTTTGGTTTCTTCCTTATCTTGTTCCTGGGGCCTGTAGTCTGTATCAAGGACAAGTTCAGTGTTTAAATAAGTTAATCTCTCCTGAATCCTTTGCCCACAGTGGTCTGTTCTGTACTAATTCAGAAGCCTGTGTACCTCTTCTTTCTCTTTCACAGGTACGTTTCAGCCCAAACTTGGACTCTTATGGTTGGTTGGTTTCTGGGGGCCAGTCAGGGCTGGTGAGGGTACATTGTGTTCGTGGCCTTACCTCCCCCTTGGGTCATCGGATGCAGCTTGAGAGCAGAGCCCACTTCAGCGCCATGTTTCAGCCACCCTCCCCACCTCAGGGGCCCAGCTTTCCTCCAACCAGCTACCACCTGCTGCCCAACCCATAGTTTATTGAACATGGAGCCCTGGGGATTCAGGATTCTTTGGTCCTGATGCTGCTTAGTAGCTATATGACATTTACAGCTCTGAGCCAAGCAAACTGGAAACTTCCCAAGATTGCAAACCTACCCAAGTCTCACATCTTCAGAATGGTACAGTAGAATTTATAGTCAGAGGACCTAGGTTTGAATTCTGGTTCATCTAGTTATGGAGTATTTGACCTTGAGAAAATCACCTGGGCCTCAGATTTCTCCTCCATAAAATGAAGGAGTTGGACTAGACCTCAGAGGTTCCTTCCAGCTCTAAATTTACAATCCTGTCAGGCTCTAAGGACTGCATCCTCAGGACTCTACAGACTGATCCTGTTCTCCATAATCACTGCCCCCCCTGCTGGCAGGGGGTGTCCAGATGTGAACTCTAGTCTCCTCAGCAAACATCACAGAAGCAGCCCTATGTCAGACATGGGGTTGGGGGCCAGATTGCTCATATTGAGCCTGTTGTACTTGGAGGCAGAACTGAGTAAAGGTGCTGAGTGTTTTGGATGCCATTTTGTGTGCTTGTGCTTTGGGAAGAAAGGGATGTAGCAGCTATGGTAGGACTCTGCCAGGGGTCCTTCCCACAGCTGCACCTTCACCCAGAGCTGTGAGGAACGCAGTTCAAACAGTTTATTGCAGTGGAGCTTCTTTGGTGTCAAACGAACAGGACAAGCACGTGGATAGTACAGACTCAAAAAGACCAAAACATTGTCACACATGCTTTAGCTACATGGTGTGGACTGTGGGATTCCCCAGGGCTCAATTACAGAGGGTTACATAGAGTCGAGGATACCATGTCCACCTTTGGAAGTGCCAACACCCATGACCACAACTGTGTTCATAGCACAGAAACAGACAAATAACTCCAACAGCACCAAAATAACTAGAGTTTCCTCAGGGGGAAGGAGTAATAGAGATTGATCTGGATCTGTTCAACTGTATGTTGGTTTCTTTGGCTGGTTTTTCCTCTGCTCCCCTCCCACAGCTTTGATTGGACCCAAACAAGGAGTTAAGAGAGTAGCAGAAGAAGAGAGTTTAAGGTTCTTATGCCGTAGAATGGGAAGAAAATGCCACTATTTAATCTGGGGACTAATGTCTTGTGGAGACATCCCCTCTTGCATGGTTTTTCTAACCAATCCCCTCCAGTACCCAAATTCCCTGCAAGTTAACCTCTACTTTAATGTTCCTTCCAGAGGGAATTAGAACCCAGGGACCATTGAAATTGTCCCTTTTCTCTCCCTTTGCTGAAGGAAAGATATAATTTTTATTATTAATAATTTATCCACTGGCTTTGTAAGACTTAAAAACTCTGATCATTGACTAATCATGACTTCAGGAAAATGATTTCATGTTTCCCACCTCTTGGCAAAGTGATGATAGACTAGAGTTGCATAATGAAAAATATATTTTTAGATATGGCCGATGTTTTAAATTTTCACTTGACAGTTCTTATTTGTAACAAAGAAAGGCTTCTTCTGTGGGATGGGAAGATGGTAGGTAGTGATAGTGATTAAAAAAAAAAAGGAGAAAAAACAAACGATAAGAAGAATGCTGGCCCCCAGGCCATCCTCCCTTCCCAAGGAGTTTAGTATCTGGCTCACCGTTTTCCTCTATTCTCCATCTCCTATGCTAATACTAGGGGACATCAATCACATGTTGGTACTCCATTCAACACCCTAATCAATGAACCTCCTTCCCCTCAGCCACATACAGGGATGGTCACACCCTAGACCTCACCATGACCCACAAGTGTTCCACTTTGAGCAAAAATGAACATTCCTCCATAACCTTTCATTCCTTCTCTCCTTATACCTTACTTCTAATCCTATTCATTTTCATGACCTCCAATCCTCCCTTAGTACCTTCTCAAGCTATTACCCCAGTTCTGACTTTACTTCTCTCCTTTTCCAATCTTGACCCTATAGTTAACTAGTTCAATTCCACATTGTTCTCTAGTTTTCAGTCCCTTGCTCCCTTTTCCTGTCACTGCTCATGTTTTGTCAAACCTCAATCCTGGATTATTTCCACCATTCAGTGCTTTAGCTCCTCCTCATCTGTTGCTGAACAGAGCTAGAGGAAATCACACAATCGAGCTGCCTAGGTCTACTATAAATTTACCCAAACTCAACTGGGCCTTGCTTTTATGCTCACCATGCTTTTATGATTCCCTGATTATCCCACTCCCCAGAGGTTGTTTGTTTTTCTTCTCTCCTCAAACTTCCCACACTTTTCTCCCCATCTGCAATTCTGCTGAAGGCTTCAACTTGTATTTTACTGGGGAGGAAAAAGAGGCCATTTGCTGTAAGCTCTTCTTCCCTTCCCTTCATCTTAGAATTCCTTGACATCCATCATTCCCCATTCTTTTCTTTTAGTCTGATAATGAAGTAGCTCTTCTCAATAATGCCAGCCCCTCTACATATACTTGATCCTGGAATTCCTTCATCTTACCCAGCAAACTGCCCCCTCAATCATCCCCTCTGTATAATCTTTAATCTCTCCCTCTCTGGTTTCTTCTTCCTGCCAACATATACATACCTATGTCTCACTTATCCTTAAAAAATCTTTACTAAATTCTTTCACTTCAAATTACCATACTATATATCTCTCTACCCTTTTCAGCCAAACTCTATACTCGCTTGCCTCCACCTCCTCGCAAATCTCATGCAATCTGACTTTCAGTTTATCACGACTAAAACTGCTCTTTTCAAAGATACTATAAGGTGTCTTAAATGCCAGTTCTAATGGCCTTTTCTCAGTCCTCATCCTACACCTATCTCTCTAGCATTTGATACTATTAACCCTCTCCTAGATACTCTCCTTTCTGGGTTTTTGACACTATTTTCTTCTGGTTCTCTCTGACCACTTCTCAAACTCCTTCACTAATTCATATCACACTCCTTTCCTCCTACAACTGTGGGTGTTTAATGGGAGCCTATCCATGGGAATAGAGAAGGAAAAAATTTTTTTCACTTCATCATCTGAGCAGCTCTAATTCTTGAGAGGCTGGAATGGAACCAGTCCTAAGGAACTACTGGCTTGGCTGCAATAAGGCAGCTGGGAAACTTGTTGGAGAGACTAGTCTATCGGTAAGTGTTACCTCCCACAGACAGCGCTCCTCTCCAGTCTTCTTCATGGTTCCCCATATACCTTTTCTCAGAAGAGGAGCTTTTTGCTGTTCAGTCATGTGTGACTTTGTGGCTCCATTTGGGGTTTTCTTTGCAAAGATACCAGAGTAGTTTTCCATTTCCTTCTCCAGCTCATTTTACAGATGAAGAATTGAGGCCAACAGGGTTAAGTGACTTGCCCAGGGTCACACGGCTAGTGTCTGAGGGCACATTTGAACTCAGGAAGGCCTAGTTCTAATCCACTGGGCCACCTAGCTGTCCAGGAGTGCTTTACCTAGGTGAGAAAAGGGGGATCGAGGGTTCTTTCTTCCTTCCACCATTGTGACTCGGCTTCCCTTTGGAAAGTTTTACCCTGAAGAAACCCAAAAGCCTGCAGTGGTCTCTCGGAGGCCCAGGAAAAGTCACTGGATGTGGAGTCTGGAGGCCTGCCGGCTTCAAACTGACTAGCAGTGTGACCTCAGGCAGCCCTCTTCCCCTCTGGACCTTGGTTTCCTCTTCTACAAAATGGGGCTAAGGTTAACTCCCCTAGTGACCCAGGACACATCCTTCCCCGAGCCAGGCCTCATCTGGGCCCGAGTTCCACCAGATGGCCTCGGACCTGACCATTTCAGCCAGGGCCAAAACCTCCCCAGGCAGCTCCTGCCCATCCAGAAGGATACTTTCGGGGGCCGGGCCCGACGACACCCCTGACCCGCCCCACCGCCCAAGAGGGGCAAAGCGCAGGGCCTCCGGGGCGGGGCTTTCCCCGAGCGGATGGGGCGGGCCTTGCACGGGAAGTCCCGTGCGGGTGAGCGGGAGCGGACTCGCAGAGACGGGCGGTATCTAAGGTGAGTTTGGTGCCACGTTTCCCCGCTTCTCGGGGAAGCACCCCGCGCACGCGCACCATGCACATGACGTCATCCCCATTGACCGTGAGTACGCAGAATGTCAGTTTCCCTCTCGCTCCGCTGCTCTGCCATTACTCTTGGGGAGGTTTCGGCCGGGCCCTTGAAAACTCCCGAGGCAGTGGCCGGGCTGCGAGTTGCGCGGGTCCGAATCCCGCCCCTGCCTCTGGCTCACTGTGTGATCTCGGGAAGATCACTCAACCTCACTAGGCTTCAGTTTCCCCATCTGTAAAGCGAAGAGGGTTGATTTCGTGAAGTCTGAGGTTCTGTCAGCCCTAAAGTCCAGTCCTCCCAGCTCTTAATGGCTAAGGAGCTCATTCCCTCCTGCCAAGAATGTGGAAGAAGGTGTCACTTTTAGGCCTGGTCCCCGCTTAGTGGGAAATGAGCTCCTTTTGGGCAGGGACCCTCACTTTCTCGTCACCCAGAGCCTAGCAGGAGCCTCATGCATGTTTACGGATTGTCCCCTTTCCGAGTGGGCACATCCCCCAGACCCCAGCAGGCCCTGGGAGGCACAGCTGTTCTCCCTGCCCTCAGGCTCCCAGAGGAGCTGCCTTTAGTGCAGGTGAAGATGCCAGAAGAGGAGGGGTGGATTTCATGGTCGAGCAGGAGGGTGTACAGGTAGTGACACAGAAGGCAGCTTGCTTCCCTAGGGAGAATACTGGATTTGGAGTCAGGACTCAAGCCCAAATTCCAGCTTTCCAGCTTGCTTGCTGGACAAGTCATTCTCTGGGGTTTGTTTTCTCATCTATGAAATGAAAGGGAGACCCATTCCAGTCCTAAAGCTATGCTCCCCGGCCCCACTATCCCCACAGGAGACATGATTCTCTGGCGGGCATACCAGCAAGTACTGGCTGCTCACCCATGGAAGGTACAGATTCTCACATCTGGTGAGTATTTTCCTGGGACTGACACTACAGTAGGCTGTATCCTTGGGGAGGAAACTGTAGATTCTCCTATCTCCCTCAAGTCCTGTTTGCCAACCAGCACAGGAGTGTCAGCAGGACAGATTCTCCTTACTCCTACCCACCATGATAAGGTGGTTCTACAAGTATGATAAGAACAAGATGCTCACGTTCCTTTTTTGGTTCATTCTCACCATAACTCCACTTTGGTGCCAAGGCTATACTTAATGGACTGAAGGGCAGCAGTACCTGTTAGTCCCTAGTACCTGCTCCTTCCTTCCTAGAGGGACAGATTCTCTTTCCCTTTATACTTTTCTTATCAAGATCCTTATTCCTCACAACTGAGAGTCCAGGCCAGGCCTGTCCTCAGGGGAGGTGAGGGTACAGGAAAAGCCATTCACGAGATGTGATTTGAAGAGGACTGAAAGGTCAACCTACTCAAGAAAATCGCCCACTCAGACCTGCTGTGGGGACCTGAGATTTCCTGTGCAGTCAGTCATTTCTGTAAAGAGGCAAATGTATCATCTGGAAAAAGGGCAATACAGTAACACTAGAGTCTATGAATGCCTTCCTTTAACAGATGAGCTATCCTTGGAGATTAGGTCATAGGGCTCAGAAAGGACCACATATAAGTAAGTTTTGTTGGTTGAAGGGACCTTGACCATAGTTCCAGACCACAGAGGTGTGCCTTGGAGTAGGGTTCTGGGCCATCCAAGACAACATTAAGGCAATGAGTCTAGATAGGGTCAGAGTATTGTTGAAAAGGAGGAGTAGAAGTTGGTGCTAATGGCCTTTTTCCTATTTACTACCATATCAATCCCAGAGTCTAAAATACGTGGCCCTGAGCAGCTGAGTTTTTCCCATCTCAACCCCCCCCCCATACTTCAGACTCCCCTGGGTCTTTACCCAGCCCACTGTGTCTGACCACCCCATGTCCTGTCCTCGGCGTGCCCGCCAGGGCAGTGACTCACCTGGGCTGAGTGTGTGTGGTGACTCATGCTGCACTGTGTGGCCATGATGGGAACTGACACGCTGGGCTCTGTGCCCGGCCAGCTTCTACATTTGTCCAGAGTTGGCAGCTGCCAGGAGGAAGGTCCCAGGGTGGACTTGGGGAGAAAAGAGGGATGACCCTTTTGCCTTTTCTTCTCACTCTCTGGGAGTGAGCCTGGAAAGTCTCTTCTGACCATAAATGAGAAGGTTGAGATTGTTTTGGGAAGAAAGTTGATAAGGTAGAGTAGAGTGAGTCCACCATACTTGGGGGCTCCCAGTTCTTGGACATCTGACCAGGATAGGATTGAGGACCAAAGCTCTTTCCACGTCTTGTTCTTTGCAGAAGCCAGTTGAGTTCCAGGACCTGTCTGGAGGGTTTTGTTCTGGGTCAAAGGTATTCCTAGACTCATTAGATCCCCTCCAGAATACCCTAGTTCCCAGAAAGTCCTTCAGTTTTCCATAGGCTAGCCCCACATTCCAGGAATAGTATTCAAAGTGGACCAAACTATGGACACAAGAGAGGAGGGCTCAGCCCTCTGTGCTGTTTTCTTTTCTGGGCATTAATGACCTAGAACCCATTGATATTATTATTATTATTATTAATAACAGGTGACATTTCCATAATGTGTGGTTTGCACAGCATTTTACATGTATTCTCATTTGATCTTCACAACAAAACTGAGGTAGTTACTACTGGCATTATCATTATTTTGTAAACAAGAAAACTGAGGCTCAGAGATTTAGTGACTTGATCAGTTATATAGCTACTAAATGTCAGAAGTAGAATTCGAATACAGGTCTCTCTTAACTCTTGAATAAGCCTATTGTTCTCCTCATTGTACCACATTCTCCCTGACCTACTGTGCTGCCACATAGAACATACCAGGAGTGAACCCTGCCCCTGGGTAAGTGTCTGGTCCAGTCCCACAAGCTCTTGGCATTAGATTTGACTTTTGCCATGTCTGAGGATGGTTTTGCACTTCCTCCTACAACCTAGAGGTTCAAAGAATTGCCTAGAACAGAGAGGTTGAGTGGTTTGTCACTCCTGCAGTCCATATGACAGTGGGACTTGATTCCAGGTCTTCCCACATTTAAGACCAGTTCTCTGTTCATGACAACTTGCTGCCTCTAATACAAATGCAGATATATGCAATAAAAAAAAAAAAGGAAGTAGTTTCCTGGAAGTACTATCAACTGAGGGGATTAGAAAAGTGCTTCTAACCCTGCGGATCCTGGAGAAACTGAGTCAGACTTATCCTTTCCTTTTGTAGAGGCTGTGTCAGACAGTGGTCCCAGGCATTCTGGGCCTGCCATAGATAGGTGTTAAACTCCCCTGGGAACACTGGAACTAACTCACTTTCCCCAGGAAGGGAAGCAAAGTGTAGTGGGAAGAGACTTGGACATAAAAGAACTGTGTGGTAGTCTCAGTTCTTTCTTTTGTTAGCTGTATAAAAGCCTTCACTTCTCTGAATGTCAGCTTCGTCATAAGTAAAGTGAGAGGCCCAGCTGATCTAGCATTCCCTCCACTTTAACATGCTGTGATTCTTTGGGCTATGCTCTCTGTGACAGTAGAAGAAGTAAAGATGTTAGCTCAGAGAGAACCTTGGTTCTCAGAATCTCCAATCTCAGGGTTGGAAGGGACCTCAGAGGTTACTTACTCCAATAGCTGAGCAGTAATCTTCTCCACAATGTCCCCAAGAAACTGTCCCCCAGTTCAGATCCTAGGGGTTGCTACTTACAGCCTGTGTGCCCTTGGGCAAGTCACTTCTGTAAATGAAGGGGGCTGTAAATCTTTAAGGACCCTTCCATTTCTAAGTCTTATGATTCTAAGAACCCTCCTAACCTCCCAGGACTGATCCAGACCCCAAATCCTAGGATTCAGCTTCCGCTGGTCTAGACTTGGACACCATAAACTGCAAAGCTGCCCCACAAACCCTTCTTTTCTTTTCCTTTCAGAAGGGCAGTAGGTGGCTGGGGCAGGCGGCTGTAGCCCTTAGAGCTCTAAGGGTACCCTTCTTCCTGAAACATGGAAGATAAGTCCTTTCTTGTTCCTTTCCTCCCCTCCCCAATCCTTGCGGTCCTGTGGTTCCAGCTCATCCTGGGCTTCTTGCCAGCCCAAGCCCCCACCTTGACACTGTTTAATCTCCTGAGAGGCCCCTGGGGAGGAGAGGGGGGAGCCGGGTGAGTCGGCAGCACCGGTGGCTGTGTCCCACCGAGGGCTCCTGCTTTTCAAGGACATGTTTCCTATTTTCAGTCATCTGAGGAGCTGTCTCCAGCCTCCTTTCTTTTTCTCATTTACTTCTATCTGTTTACCTCCCAACCCACTAATAAAATTTCACTTTTCTTTCTCCAGCCTTCCTTTTGGTCCCTGACTTGTGGTCAATCCATGGGAGGCAAGGAGGGCCCACACCCTTTACAGGATCTCTTGAATTGCTTCTCTGGGTGTATGTGTGGGGGAGAGACTTGGGACTGCCACAGGGGGTTCTGGATGGACCAGTGCCCTAGGACTGGTTCTCCTTTCTCCCCTCTCTCCTTCCTCCCCACTCCCATACTGGCTGTGCTAGAGAGTGACAGCATCAGAACCTGGCCCCAGTCCAGAAAGATGACGTCATTGCCTGCACCAGCTATCTGCCCAGTGGGCTCAGTGCCCAGCGATGCTTAGGGGCTTCTCAACCTAGCTACCTTGTTGCTTTATGAAGAGTCATCAGGTTAATGGTGCCACCCTCTACCCCTCCACTCCCTGGACCTCTAGAAAGAGCTTCAGATTAGGTGAGGGTGGTAAAAATGGTCCTAGGATCTGCACCCAAACACATAGATCCTGAAGGACCTCCAGGAAGCTGGGGCAGTTTTGGAGTTTGAATCTGTTCAGTTCAAGTCAGCTTGCATTTTTTGAGCACTTGTTGAATAGTTCTGCCTTCAAGGAGCTTGTTGGGGTGAAAGAACATGTGCATGAGTCAGTACATACATATTGGAATAGGGACTGGACCTTTGTTGTCATTGGTGCATAGAACTTCCTTTACCAGTGCAGATCAGCACTTCTTCCTACAACCTAGAGGTTCAAAGAATTGCCTAGAACAGAGAGGTTGAGTGGCTTGTCACTCCAGCAGTCTGTATCACAGTGGGACTTGATCCCAGGTCTTCCCTGACCTGTTAGTTTTCTGTTCACAACAACTTGCTGCCTCTAATACAAATGCAGATATATGCAAAAGAAATAGGAATTAATTTCCAGGAGAGCATTAACAACTGAGAGGATTAGAAAAGGCTTCCTCAAGGAAGTGGCACCTGAGCTGTGCCTTGTTAAGGGGTGGAGGAGAAGAAGGCAAACATTACAGGCGGGGGACAACGTGTGCAAAAGCATGGGATGTTGTGAAGAAGGAAGAATCTACTGGCCATTTGGGCTTGAAACAGAGTGGGAAAGGGATAATGATATGAGATAGCTCTAGAAAGACATGTTGGAGCCAGATTACAGAGAACTTTAAATGTCACACTAAGTTTGTATTTTATCTTAAAGGCAATAGGAGCCACTACAGGGAAATGATGTGGTCAGATCTGTATTTTAAGAATATCAGTTTGACAGGTAGAGAATATAGCTGGGAAGGGATCTCAACCCAGATATTGGGCCGACATTGGGCCATGGTGTTTGTATTCCCGAGTTTCCCCTTCCTTTCAACTCAAGGCAATGCTCAGGCCTTTACACCAAGGTCCCTCAGGACACCTGGTCTGAGGTAAAGTCCTTGCTTACCTCATTCTCTGCACATCCCTTCAATTGCCACAAAGCCAATTCAAATTGGGAATCAGACCTGGAGTGGTTCTAGTTTCAGAAGCCTACTCCCTACTCCCACATGAAAAAGGAAGCCCAGGGTTCACTTCAGTCTGAAGCAGAACAAAATTATTAGTGCATGAGGACGGAGAACATGACTTATACAAACTTTATATCTCCCCATCACCAGTGTCCGTCACAGGTTCTCTCTATAGTCGATTCTCAGTAAAAATATATGAAATTGTCTTTGTTGAAAACTGCCCTAGGTAGGCATGCTGGAGAAAGCTTCATCTCCCACCGTGGCATCTTGCCGGCCCATCATTTACCAAGAAAATGAGGCTGGGGGGCAGGGTCCTGAGCTCTAAATTAATGTGTCTCTTGCTTCCCTGCCCTGTGTACGTACTAAGGACAGTGAGTCCGAAGACCAGGATCCAAAAGACTTGAGTTCTAGCCCCAGCTCTTCCCTTACCCTGTTGTGTGACCTTTTTGGCAAATCATCTGTCTTCTCTGTTGCCTCAGTTTCCTCACCTGCCAAAAAAAGAGGTCTGTCTGTATCTCATAGGGTCACTGGTGGGGTGGGATGTCAAATGAGATGGAAGTAAGAGTTTTTGAAAAGAAAGAGTCCTATATCACAAGGTGGTATTATTCTGGGCCAAAGTCTTTGGGGTTTATGTGGTCCGGTGGGAGCTCAGCAGAGTCACTCAGACACTGCTGCAGGTGAGAGACAATGGGGCTGATGTTTCTGCCTGCCAGCCTCACAGGGTCTGGGGATTTGAGCTCTGCTTGAGCCTCCTAGGGCCTTTTATTTGCCTTCAGTGGTCTCTCATGTGAAGGCAGCATATGACCCTACCTCCTTTTCTTCCCTCCCAATTACTTGCCTCTTAATAGGTGCTACTTTCTTTTTTACATATTATTTTGTTTTTTCAATTAACAAAAATTTATTTTCTTTCAATCCCATTTCCTCTACTCATTAAAAGAAAAAAAAGAGGGGAAAAAAGCTCTTATAACAGATATGTGTAGCTAAAAACAAATTCCTGCATTGGCCGTGTCAAAAAAAAAAAAAGTCTTATTTTGTACCCTGAGCCCATCACCTCTCTGTCAGCTGGGGACTGGGTGCTCTTCTTTTCTTCCTATATATTCATAGCTAGAGTCACTCCCTCTGAGTGGATGCAGAAAGAAACAGGCACATGATAGAATGGAAATCCAGCATAGCAGAGCTCAGCAAGCTTCTGGGGCCCCTTCTCTCCCTATACCACAGCCCTCTGGACTAGTTAGAATCTTCCACTTCCATTTTTGGGTCTGATAGAGACCCGGAATATGTGTGTGCATGGAGATATTATTGGGGGGACAGGGAATATAGTTCCCTTAAGGAAAACTGGTCATTTAAGTCACTTTGCTCTTGCTGTGGGGAGAATAACTCCACCCTTTTGGGACTAAGATGAATGAGGCAGTGGCCAGGCTGCTGGGCTCCCCTGGAAGAGGGCCTGGGACTGCTTCGTGGCTGAGAGTGCCAGCAAACCTGACTAACCTCTTCCAGCTCCTAGCCTTACCCAGTTGGCTGTTGGTTACTGCTTGTCCACTTCTCAGGGCACGACGTGGGAGTTGGGAAAAGAGCTGAGCACACTGGTTGTGTGAGCCAGAAGGGTGATCTTGCAGCCAGCATGGACGTCAGAGCCAGCCAGGATACACGTTGGGGTGGAAGGATGTGTTTGTCCAGTTCTAATTGAGGGCACAGGGACGCTGTTGAGGTGCTGCAGGCGGGTGCTTTCATTACTCAGCAAGACAGAAGAAACCTGGAGATTATGCTGGTCACTTCACACAGAGGCTTCTGTATATGTTTGTGCACTCACACATTGTGTGCACATACACTCACACGAGAGCCCATCACGGCCCACTGGGCACTCAGTCAATATTAATGATGTCTGTCTGAGGACCTGTTTGAGAGTATCTGTGACTGCATGGGGCTATGTATCAGTGGGCTCCACAGGGACCCTTTTCCCTCTGGCTTTTGTCACTGCTGGATTCTCCCTTCAAGGCCTCTGAGGAAATGTGGGACTGTGATGTGAGGTTGTTTGTGGCTATCTACAAGCCAGAGGAAGACAAGGTCTGTTCTTTCTAACTTCCTCACCAGCTCATCTGCCCTCTTTGCAGCACCTGAGTGTTTCTGGAAGTGACCTATTCATTTTGTTCCCCATAGATCATAGGCCATAGATCTAGGACTGATGAGAGTCCATTGCATTTAACTTCCTGATTTTTAAAGCTAAGAAAAATGAGGCCTAGAGGAATTGAGTGACTTGTCAGAGGTCATACAGCTAGCAAGTGTCAGAGGTAAGATTTGTACCAGGTCCTTTTATTCCAGAGGCAGGGTTCTTTGCACTGTACCATGCTGCCTCCATGCAGACTATGATACTTGGTGAAAAGAAGGATTTTGGTTAGAGCCAGGAATCAAAATTAGAATTCCTGGTCCTAGTCATGCCCTATCTACAGTATCTTTCTCCATGTCCTAGCTGCATTTGAGGTTCTCATATCAGCAGCTGGTGGGGCCTTTGCTTACTCTCACGATCACCTCAGAGCTCTTGAAATAGAAAGGATTTCCTGCCCTATTTGGAGGATCTTGATGGGCCCTGTTTACAGTCCCCTCATCTCAAGAATTAACTGTAAAAACACAGCTACCCTTGTGACAGTCCTTGGAGACAGGGAAAGCTTCCAGGAACTGAGAAGGACCCTCAGTTGCTAAAAAATAGGATGCCTCCCCCCCCCGACCTATGGATAAAGAAGGTCAAGGCAGTGATTGCCAAAACCTTATACTTAGTAGATTTTACCCCATCTTTCAGAAAACTTTGCTTTCCCTTGGATTTCTGACAAGGCAACCTGACGATGTCTTCTACTTCCAGGGTCCCTGATGGGGATAGGTGACATCATCTCTCAGCAGCTGATAGAGAAACGGAGTTTAGAGAAGTACGAGGTCCACAGGACCCTAACCATGGCTTTTATAGGCTGCAGCTTTGTGGTGAGTCACACCTATAGTTGGCTGGATGATGATTTGGACAGTGGACCCAGATCTCCATCTTCCCTTGTACTCTCCAGGCTCTTGACCTCCATCTCTTTATGCCCATAATCCCCAGTCTCCCTCTCCTTGCCCTCAGTTATTTCCTCTATGATGTGATTTCCTACCTTTTGAGGGAAACAATATTAGTATTTGCTAGCTAGAGTTTCCCTTTTTTTGCTTCTCCTTCTGTCCTGGATTTGCGTTCAGGGCCCTGTGGTAGGTGGCTGGTACAAGGTTTTGGACCGACTAATCCCTGGCAACACCAGGATGGATGCACTGAAGAAGATGGTGGTGGATCAGGTGAGCAGAGGGGAAGTGAGGAAGGGAAGAGCAACAGTGGATCAGAAGGGGCTGTGATTATATGAATCTGTGTCTGTAGAGAAGGAATGTACTCTTTGACAGATAAGCATTAGAGCTCTAACATATTCTCTTCTTCCTGTTCTCTCTTCTCAGGGGGCCTTTGCCCCATGTTTTTTGGGGTGCTTGCTTCCACTGATTGGTACACTTGATGGACTGTCAGCCAAGGATAACTGGGCCAGACTGCGACGGGTGAGGATGGAGTCTCAGGATTTGATTGGGTATACAGGTGGATCTGGGGGATTCCCAAAGGAACATAGTAGAATTCAAGCAAATTAGGAATGTTGGAAGTTCAGAGACTTAACAGGTGGTTTGAGTCCAGTGATAGGGAAAAGGGCAGTTGTTGCATGTTTGCTGAGCACCAAGAAGTCCCATTCATTGAAAACCAGTCAATTATTACGTGTCTTCAGTGTGTAGAGAACTGTGGTTGGTCCTGGCAGAGAGTCACAGATAATTAAGACTTGTCCCCGCTCTCACGTAGTCAATGGAAGAGAGTGGAAAAGGCTATGATGCCAAGAGGAGGGAGTGTAAGACTTAACCTTTTCCTTACTTGTTTCTTCAGGATTACTCTGATGCCCTCATCACCAACTACTATGTAAGAGACAAATCAGTCATTCTCCTTAAGGCTGTGGAAAGCCCTGGGCTTTGGGCCTTCTCTGGATTGGATCTTCGCTGGGGATGACTTGGGGGCCTGAGCAAGTTACCTATTGGACTGGATTCACATGCCCAGGGGTTGGGATGGGTCTGATGAAGGCTCTTTGAATGGGGGCCAGAAAATACTGTTCCTAGATAAGACAGTGGTATAACTTCTTCCTTATCATCATTATTATTATTATTGTTGTTTTTTTGCAGATCTGGCCTACTGTGCAGTTGGCCAACTTCTACCTTATTCCCCTTATCTACAGGTAGGGAAAAAACCCACTGATACTCTCCCAGAATATTTCAGGTTAAAAAATACAAGTCTGAAAGCTGTGTGATGCTCATTCCATCTTTAAATCCCTCAGCCCTCCAAACCCAAAATCTTCTGCCCATAAATCAAGGCTCTTCATATTCCTTTGTGCTGTAGTCAGAACCTCTCACCCCTCACAAAGTCCTCTTCAGTCTGCCCTCTGAATCTCATACAGAATTCCAAAAAAGATCCCACTTCCACGGTCCTTTTTCCTGTCCCATATGAATCCTTTCCCTCTGATGCCATGCCATTGCTAGAGGGACAGAGTCCAGGCTGCTACAGCCTAGGTTAAGCAGACAGGTAAGGCAGGAAGCCAGGTAGGATATGTCAGTTCAGTCAAAGAGAAAACATTTTACTACCCTTCAATAAAACTGGTGGATATTGTACTATTTGGTTTTGAAGCCTCAAGAAGGTTATAAGGTAATCAGAGAAAGGCAAATAAAATAGTTGAGGGGAGAGAGGCGATCTTAGAATTGGAACTCTAGTCTGGAAAGGGTGAAGCTAAGAGAAGATAATCTAAAGGCAAAAAAACCACATGTACCATAGATGTGGTGAACATGGACTTCCCCAAATCCTGAAATGTTAGAATGAGGGGAAACCCTTTGAAATGCCAGTATGGCAAATGTATAGCTAATAAAAGGAAATACCACCTCATGAAGCAGGTAATAAACTTAAGGAACTCACTACCCCAAGAGTTGGTACAGGCAGGAAATAGAAACATTCAGAAAACATTTGGATATATGCCTGAATGAAAGCCATAAATGGTTACTGAGAGAAACTGAGCTATTCTCCACCTTTAAAAGTAATATTGGGAAGGACAACCATACTCTTCTATGGTAAAGCCCTTGGGACCCTGTTGGTGCCCCAGAACACTGACTTGGGTAAACCAGGGTTCTGACCCAGTACAATCATTACTATTTTAAGGGGGGAAAGGGTTAGGGGAAGACTTGGGTGGTAAGATGAGGTTATAAATCCTGCCAGTTTCCTGTGGGAGAAAATTTCTCTTTTCTGCTTTTTTCTCTCCCTCTTCTCCATCTTTCTTTCCCCCCATTGCTCTTCTCCTTTGTCTTTCTCATCTCTGTCCCCACCCCCTTCCTCCTGTTCTCAATGATGCTTTTCCTGTTCCTCAGGTTGGCTTTTGTCCAGTGCGTTTCTGTTGTCTGGAACACCTACCTATCCTGGAAGTCACATCAGGCCTGAGTCCTCCTCTCCTCATGTCCCCCTACATTGGAGCTGTACCTCTTGACCCTGGGATGGGTTCAGATGTCTTCAGAGCACTCCCAGACAGTTTTTAGGATGCCAAGCCACTGGACAGAAAGGACTTCTGGGATGGGACACTGAAATGAATCAACGCCCCCCCCCGCCCCATGAAATGTAAATAGTACAGCCTTGCAAGTAGTTTTAGAAAATGAAAACTGATGTGTTTTACTTCCCTTGTTACCATTATGTGCAGTCTTTGCCTAATTCTCTGCTCATCTTTTCCTAACCTATCCTTCTTCAAGTTTGGCTAGACCCTTAATTCACCCTAGACCTTTACAGACAGCTCTGCCTTAACTAAATGGCGGTGATAATTGATGTGGTTTGTGGCTCTAGACACAGAATACAGTTCCAACAGAGAGTCAAAGATTTGTGATGCTGTTTGGTAGTTCACCCCAACCTTTCCTACTCCCTGACTGAGGGAAAAATTCAGTCAGCTCTGAAGCCAGAGCGAAGCACCTATCCCTCTTTTTCCACCCTTCTTCCCTCACTTAAGAATAAAAGAATCAGCTAGGCTAGACCACTGGATAATTCCTCTTTGTGTAACTACCATCTGCCCAGAGTAATGGAGTCAACAGAATGTGCCGTTTTTGGTCTGGGAATTTCTGGGGACCAGAGACTATCTGCTTTTAAATCCTTAATTAAAAGACCCTGGACTTTTAAATTTCAGGATCTAAACAGAAGTGCAAATGGTAGGGAACCTTTAGGAAAAGAGAATTAGCTCAGTGGATTAATTTGGTCCCTTTTGCCCGTGAGGACAGCCTTTGGACCCAGTCTCTGGCTGCAGAGCTAGAAGCGCAGGCTGTCGGGGTTGTGTGCCAACTATATAGTCCTCTTTCTTCCTCTCAGTCTAGAATTCAGATCCCTCTTGCTGAAATGGGCTGAAAAAGAGCTGTAGTCAGAACCACGGACAGCTCCACATTTTGACTTTGGTCAGCTTCGGCTTTCCCTTCTCGGTAAGGAAAATTTTCCCCAGGAAGTTGAGATTTCCACTAGGGAGGAGGGTGCTGGAAAGACAAGATGCTGTAGACTGAATTGAAAACGGTGCGAGGTCTTCCTGGGTCCTTTGGTCCAAGCCAGGACTGCCCACGTCCGGGCCCATCTGGAACTGATGTTATCCGTAACAACTCCAAGCACCATCCCTGGCGCTTGCCCCTAGAGGTAGCAGGCTGTATTCCATTCCCGGGGTCTTGTCCCTGGGGGGGAGTTCAGCTCCTCACCCCTGCCGCTCTTAGAGCTGTGATTCTGTCAGTTCATCTACAATCAGTGCATGTCCTTCGCTGACGTCAATCGGAGCTGCCCCGTCCCTATATAAATCTGGCAGCAGCCCCGGGACACTCCCCGAGTTCTCCAGGCACTGGCAACCGGCCCCGTGCTCCCAGACTCCGGTTCGGTTGGGACAGTGACTGAAGCTCTGCTACACCCCCGCGGCAACACACTCGGAGAAACCCGTGAGTGGTTCGTTCTGAGCGCACCCGCTCCCCTAGCTGAGCGCCCTCCCGGACCAGCCCTTTCTTGCTTGCTCCCCCAGCTGCTTTGCTGGGTAACTAGTCCCCTTTCCGGGCGGGCTGGGAGGTGGGATGGGTCCATCGCGGGACGTGTCCCAGATCTCTCATCTCCAAGCAAAGAGAAAAGGGTGGCTGGGGTGTGCGCCTAGCTTCAGCGGCTGTCGGGGCACGTGGTGGAATTGGTCTGGCAGGCACGTGGTGTCCAAGGTTGGAATGGGTGGGAATGTGCTGGGGTAGAAGTGACCAAAAGCCTGGGGCAGCCTTGGACCCGCCGCCCCCCTCAACCCCCACACCAGCCCGTCTTCCGCGCGCCCTACCCCTTCCCTTGTATGTGTGCCTCCCAGGGCCCGGCAGCGGCGGCACCAACACCATGAGGTGGCCAAGGCGCACCGCTCTGTTGGCAGCATTGCTGCTTCTCTTAGTCCAGCTGCGCCCGGGCAGCGGCGGACGGGGTACTCTGGAGGCGATGTCCCCCAGGGACAAAGGTCTGGATCGGAGTTTGCGGTGGAGTCCCAGGAACCAGGCCGGGGGAGCCCGTGCCCTCCTCCTCCTCCTGACCGAGCGTTTCCCGCGTTTGGCCTCTGGGACAGGCACCCTGTCCTCACCCGTGAGCTATCGGTCCAAGCCCAAACGGGACGAACCTTCTCTCTCCATCGACCTGACCTTCCATCTGCTGCGGACCCTGCTGGAACTGGCACGGACGCAGAGCCAGAGGGAGCGCGCTGAGCAGAACCGGCTCATCTTCGACTCGGTGGGCAAGTGAACCCGGGCTGGCCAGCCTTGTTCTGCCGCCTTGGACCAAGAGGCGGCATTGGGGGGCCAGTCCTGGAAGCCCCCCGGAACTGTGCGGGGCGTGGCCCAGTTCGGCTCCCTACTGCGGACGGTGTTTCTGTTTTCTAATAAAAGCGATGAAGAGTCGGTGTCTCCCGCTTTGGCGCGGGGCTGGGGCTGGAGCGGAGGGGGACACAGAGCTGAGACCCTGGACCAGGTCACTCTATAGGGCCAAACCCAATCCCTTTCTGTGGAACCTCACCCGACTAGCCTAGATTAAGGGGAAGAGGGAATAGATCCTTCTCCGGACTCTCAGAAAACGGTTACAAATCCATTTCTCACTCCCCAGATCCCTCTGAAAGCTGAACGCTCAGGGTTTTCGGGGCTGCCATTCCATCTACAAACCCCTCCGCTTCCCTCCAGTTGTTTCCCAAGCCAAATCTGAGGAGACAGTGACCCGCTGCCCCCCTCCCCTTGTCTCCGGCTAAGGTTTGACCTCGGTAGAGCTTTCTACTTCACTAGGTGAAGGACCCCAAATAGATCAGGGACGGTGAGGGGGCGAGACTGCAGTTAACCTAACCCAGTTAACCCTCTGGGAATGGGGAGAAGAGAGAGCGCGCACGGGGCTGGGGCCTAGACACCCGGCCACGAGGCCACAGGGACAGAAGGAGAGAATTCGGAGCACATAAGGCAATCGCATCCTTTATTTTGAGCCTCAGGGCAGCCGAAGACTCGTTCTCTCCCTGTGTCTTCTGAGTTATTCTTACGTGCCTTCAGGAACCTAGAAGGTTTTCTTAAGACGAAATCAGTGCAGACCTGTTGGGAGGGAAAGACTCAGTGGGTGGGCGAATTAAAGAGGTGCTAAGAGGACCCCAGAGGGTGCATCTAATTCCGCTTAGACCATAAGCTACTGAGCCTCCCTCTGGTTCAGTGCCTGAACAGCATCTCCTACAACCAGCCCTTAGGAAAAGGCAGGGAGAGGGAAAAGATAGGGCAGACACTACTCTTCAGAAACTCAGGGCTCTGGAGGGAATATAGGAGTCCAAGAGAGGCACTTGGATACTTCCGTAGTACCCTGGCTTCCCTGGGTACCTTAGCTCTGTGGCTGATGGAAATCAGGTGAGAAGAGCCAATCCACCTTCTACGCTAGCCCTGACTCATTATTATTTTCAATGGGTCAGTCTTTCGAAAGGCATCTCCACAACCTAGTAGGGCTCACTTACCCTCCGAAGCCTCCTGTCTCTCTTCCTCAGCCCCGGCACTGACATCCTCCCCTTCCAGCACCAACTCCTCTTCTTCTTCCTCCCCAGAACCCCCTGGGGCAAATATAAAAATCTGATTACATAGGCTTAGACCCCATCATCCTGAACCCTCAGTTCCCTCATGTCCCTTAATTACCCCCAAATCCAACTGTGCAATATGATACAGGAGGTGCAGGACCACCTCTATCTATAGTCAGAGAACCTGGGTTCAAATCCTATTTCTGAACACTACTTGTGCAACCTTGAGCAATTCAATTCACCTTACTGGGACTTGGTTTCCTTACCTGTAAAATGAGGGAAGGGGTTGGACCGGATGACCTTAAAGGTCCCTTCTAGTTCTAGAGTTATCCTATGATTCTGGTTCTGCTATCTGTGTGACTTTGGATGAGTCACAACATCTCTGGGCTTCAATTTCCTGAACGGAAAATAAGGGAGTGGGAATGGATGACCTGGAAGGTCCCTTCTCTCTCTAAATCTATGAACATAATGCAGTTAATTACCTCCAATTCGCCCCCCTCCCCCTTTCCTTTGGTCCAAGTATTTCTGTCCGTTGATCTCTTCCCGGGTCTCTCACCAGTCTGGAAGTCAATTGTCCGGAGCATCTCAGCCACATGTTCCACATTCACTGAGAACTGTTCCATGCTTTCATAGCCTGGTTCTGGCCGCCCAGCCAACTCCACCTTTGCCATGTCCCCAACCCTACAACAATGGGCTCAACTCAATCCTGAAATGCCTCTAAGGCTCCCTGATTCATCAGCCCAGGCCCAAAGATAGGCCCCCACCCCTTTCTGCTCAAGGAGCACAGTCTTCTCAGACACATATGCCCTTGCCCCTCCCTCTTCCCCTTTTTATAAATCTCCCCAACCCAGCTAAGAGTGAAGCCCAACATCAGACTCACTTTTTAATCAGCTCCTTGGCCTGCTACAGGGGGGAAAGAGAGAGCAAAAGTGAGCCCAACATAGCCAGCTCCACTCCAGCCTAACCTAAACATACATGTGAGGAGCATCCCCACCCCACTCCCTCTCCAACAGGCACTAAGGCCTTCTGGCCCTGGAGTTGCCCCACCTGGAGGTAGAGAGCCATCTGCGGCTCCTCCATGGACTGAATGGCAGACTCCACAAGCTTGGATGAGGCCTCTAAGTGGTCTCCATATTGACGGATGAGCCCTCGAACCCGCTGAAGCTTCTCCTCCTGTTCCCGGGCCAGGGTCTGAAGTAGTTCTGCTTTCCTCTCTTCCAGTACTGCACACAATGTCTCAAACTTCTGTCCCAGTAGTTGCTTCTGCCTTCGACTGTTGTCCTGAAGTTGGGGTGGAGATGTTGGGAGGAGGGTCCTTCAAAGGGCCAAGGGTCTCAGGCACCCAGAAAAAGCCCAAAGTGACTCCTAGAACCTGTGCTGTCAGGGTCCTGTCATGAGTCAGCTACCACAGACAGGCACAGAGCTGAGAGGTGTTCCATACTCACAGGCACTCATAAACACAATCATACCCCATACAGGATTTGTTTGGTCTCATCTAACAGTCTCACCTTCAAAGGAGGGAGGAGGGAAGGGTTGGGGAGACCAGAAGACACTCTGATCTTATGGGGGCCAGGGAAAGGCACAATTATACAATTCTTCAATACACACAGGAATTTCTGGTCCCAAGGCTTGGATGGAAGTCCAGAGAAACACTTTTCTCTTCCCTTCTCCCCACCAGGTTTGAGGCACCCCATTTTCCTTGGGCCCTGACTGCTATAGCATTAGTTACCCACCCCTCCTAGTCCCACTTCTCTGGGAGACTCCTGTCCACCACTTCCCCTGAAGATGCCCCATACTTACTTCAATGGTCTGGCACACTTCTTCCATCTGAGTAATGACTGCCTGGACCCGGTCATTTCCAGCCACCAGCATGGCAATACCATCGCTCAGCTCGCTCTGCCACATGTCAGGCACAAAGTGATTCTATGCCTAGGCATCTTCCCACTTCTAGGCACTCCCCCTCCCTTCACACACATAGCCAGGATGGACAACAATGGAAATGGATAAGGAATTCTTGCCTAGGGAGGGTATCCTTAAGAAACTATTTCAGATGGGGCAGCTAGGTGGCACAGTGGATAGAGCACCAGCCCTGGATTCAAGAGGACCTAAGTTCAAATCCGGCCTCAGACACGTAACACTTACTAGCTGTGTGACCCTGGGCAAGTCACTTAACCCTATTGCCTAGCAAAAAGAAAAAGAAAAAAAAAGAAAAGAAAAAGAAACTATTTCAGAAAATCTAACCCCAGGGAAGCCAAGTCTTCAGAGGCTAGAAAGGGAAGAGGGAGGTGAATCTCAGGGATTCTGAACCAAATCTATGTAGGTTGTGGGAAATGAGATAGAGGATGGATTCCAAAGGACCTCATAGTTTGTATAAGATATAGATTTCAAGACCCAAGTCTCTTTCTTGAGATTGTTACCTTCTGGCGTTTGTAGATGTTGGGCAGTGGTGCCACCTCACAGTCCTTGTGAGCACCAAACACCTTGCAGAGGGAGCAGGTGGGCACCTCGCAGCTCAGGCAATAGATGTTAATCTTCTCCTCCTCATGCTCCTCACACATTAGGTGCTGCTCCGCCTTCGAATGCAGAGGCCTAGAGAACAGTAGCAAAGGGATCATCAGGGGAGCAACCAGGATTAGTAAAGACAGGTCTGAGCAGGTGAGAAAGTGGAAGTTGCATCTCGCAGCCCAAAAATTCCTGCTGAAACTAGGCAGGACAATATGTCTGTTCTATCTATGGTCTGTATGTCCAGGGCCCTTGTCTAATCTCTTGAATGCTTTCCTTCAGAGGAGAAGACAATCCCAGGACAATGGCCATCCCAAGGTCTACAAGGAGTCAAATACTTGGGTAGGATAGGGATAGGGGCTAGATCTGTGATTTTATTGATTCAGAGAACTCACACAAGGAAACTCCTCCTCCCCATTCAAATTAGCACTTCCTCATCGACTTGTAGTCTGGGAGTTTCAGAGAGCTCCGAGAGATCAAGTGATTTGCCCAGGATCACAGATGTTTAGAAGTGGGATGTAAACCCAGGTGTTCCTGGCTCCAAAGTCAGCTCTCTCAATCCTCAACTAGGTATGGGTAGAAATGAGGGCTGAGATTGATGTGTGAATTCGTTCTCCTCATGGGCCAGTTGTATTTACCTAGTTTTAAGGTCTGAGATCACCTCCTAAATTCAGTTAGCCTTCTAACAAATGTGTGCTATCGGACACAAAACTGACCCTCTATAATGCACAATTTTTCAATGATCGTCAAGCTCCTGGATGTGAGTACCCCCTCAAATGATGCACAACTCATCCTTAGCCTTGGGTGACCCTTGTCCATGAATTCTTGTTGATCTTCCATAGGGGTCGACCAAACTTGCTGGATGCTTTCCTCAAATTTATTTCTGATTGTATTGTTACCAATAGAGCAGGACAACCATCTTTTCTTATCCTTCTCTCTCTCTCACCATGTCAGGCCCATCTTCTTTTCTAGCCTTTCTTCTCTCTATCCTCTATACCCCTTCTCTTGTTTAGTTGTGGAGTGGCAATGTGTTGTGTACTAGTCACACCCTCTATTGTCTTCTCCATTACCCTTTGAATAACCCTCAAACTGAATTCTTCAGAGGCTGTGGTATTCTGTGACTCAAAGCCATGAAGGATTACCAGAAGAACATTGGGATTAAAAAAGATGGGGCTCTTTCTAGGGAGAAGCTTGGGGTCATTAAAAGCACCGTGCAATTTCCCAAACCTGCTCTCCTTTCTCCTATTTATTTTTGGTCCCAGCTCATTGTCTATGCACAGTGTCTGTACAAAATACAGGTACTGATGGACCAAATCTATGGGTTACCCATCCAACTGCCCATCATAGTCTGG